TAATAAATCTCTAATCGATAAACTCTCGAAGTTTTGTCACAGTAACCTGTATCCCATTGGTCGAAGTGTTATTCGTCATCTTCGTCTTTCTCCGTCTTACAAGCACGATTATCAGACACGTTTAGCCCGTATATACGAATATACACTCACATATGAATAAAAGCATTGTATGCGTTAGTTTCTTTCTTCATGCAAGCATGTTATGTATATATAATACATTCAGTCCGAATAAGGTTCTACTGATGCACAAATATATTAGAAAATTTGTACAGCATCATAATCTTATAATTGTTTTTAAATAAGTTCTACTAAGAATAATGATTAATTAATTTTTATTAATAATGAAAATGTATTTTTTCAATTATTTCAAGTTTTAATTATATACTTACAAGTAAAATAAACGTTATAAAAATGATTCATAGTACCCAATAGTAAGAACCCTACGACCGTCTTTCGATTACTTTCAACTTACTATCATTTTTATTGAATGATAATTTAAGGTTATATTATTTATTATAAATAGTAGAAAATTTGGACCAGTATCATTTTAACACGAAAGTTACAATTAAGATTTTTATATTGTGCTACCAGGAATATTGTTATTTTGTGCATGTGCTGAAATCAAATAGTTAGTCTAATAATTAATAAATTACTTTAGTGAGGTTCACAACGATTTCTAATCAACGATTTAGAAGAACAAATATTTTTCTATTTAAATGTTTACATATTCTTGCATAAAAACTATTTTACTTAATTTTTCGATCAATAATTTGTAAAAGAGAAAATTATAAACAAAATATTTTATTGTTTTTGTCAAGAAAATATTTAAAATCTCACCTCAATGTTTTTTTGATATATACTCTTTTTTATTTATAAAATTATGACTGTCATATATATTTATTAAGGAACAAGAATAACATTATAAGGGTAGGCCTTAAAAAAAAGCAGCAAATAGAATAATATGATTAATTAAAATCAATTTTTGTCGCGAAAGCATCTTCTGTTTTTTTTGTGATTTCACATATAAATATATTCTGCGCAGATTTTGACAACTCAAAAATAGTAAAAGGTTTTGTTATAATGTGCCAGAGTATATTAATAATTTTTTAAAAAAATTGTATTTTTGGGATTAAAATATTTTAAATAGTTAATATATGGTAATATATTAAGGTTTAATAAAATAATTTTTGTATTACAAAAACATCATACAAAATAATTTCTCAAAGTTCAAGGAGATTTTACCATTAAATAAGACATTTTTATTTTTTAATATCTTCGAATTGATTGCTACATATGAGGCAAAATTCCTGAAATGTCCAAACAAAAAATTAAAAGTTCTCGAATTTAATCCATACTTTTCTTAAATGTTTTTATTGTTGGTGAAAGTCTAAAAATCAATTATTATTGAATTTAATAAAATAGTTTTTGAATTACAACGTTTTTAATTTTTGACTTTTGAAAAAAAAATTTTTTTTTTCAATGTACAATATTTATAAGTAGAATGCATAAAAGTTAACATATATATATAATGATTTTTAAAGCTTTTTTGACGGGCTACACGCTGTTAATAAAATTTTTTGTTTTAAATAACATTTGACCTTTAAATTCAAGGTCAAAATGTTAATGTACGTTTATCTCAAAATCGGATTTTTAAAAATTTTTTTTAACTATCTCAATGGAAAGCTTGACTAATTTCCTACAAAACATGTAATTTTCAGAGTGGGATCTTTTAAAGTTTTTGAGATATTAATTAATTAATTAATTAATGTTTATAACAAATAAAATATTTTACAAACGAATAAAGTTACCGTAATTCTGAAGTTAGCAATTAAAACTTAACGTAACTCCGCATCCAACGAGCCCTGTATGAAGTATTTTGGATAAGTAGATTGTTAATAAACAATTAGTTAACATTGCAATTGTTTATTAACAATCTACTTATCCAAAATACTTCATATAGGGCTCGTTGGATGCGGAATTACCTTAACTTTCAATTGGTAAGTTCAGAATTACCATAACTTTATTTGTTTGTAAAATATTTTATTTTTTACTAACAACAAGCATCCAAAAGCCCCATATGAAGTATTTTTGTTCAATTTTAGTTAAATAACAATAAAAAATGAAATATCTTACAAACAAATAAAGTTATCGTAAATCTAAATTAACCAATTGAAACTTAACGTAATTCCGCATCCAACGAGCCCTATATGAAGTATTTTGGATAAGTAGACTGGTAATAAACAATTGCAATGTTAACTAATTGTTTATTAACAATCTACTTATCCAAAATACTTCATACAGGGCTCGTTGGATGCGGAATTACGTTAAGTTTCAATTTCTAACTTCAGAATTACGGTAACTGTATTCGTTTGTAAAATATTTAATTTGTTATAAACATTAATTAATTAATTAATTAATATCTCAAAAACTTTAAAAGATCCCACTCAGAAAATTACATGTTTTGTAGGAAATTAGTCAAGCTTTCCATTGAGATAGTTAAAAATAATTTTAAAAAATCGGATTTTGAGATAAACGTAAATTAACATTTTGACCTTGAATTTCAAGGTCAAATGTTATTTAAAAAAAAAAATTTTTATTAACAGCGTGTAGCCCGTCAAAAAAGCTTTAAAAATCATTATATATATGTTAACTTTTATGCATTCTACTTATAAATATTGTACATTGAAAAAATTTTTTTTTTCAAAAGTCAAACGTTAAAAACGTTGTAATTCAAAAAATATTTTATTAAATTCAATAATATTTTAGAAAAGTATGGATTAAATTCGAGAACTTTTAATTTTTTGTTTGGACATTTCAGGAATTTTGCCTCATATTTACAATTATTTTCACATTCTTAATAATTTAAATTCATTATATTTTCTAATGAATTATATAAACTACAAATTTTCTTTTTACAGTTTAATTATATTTTTTATAAAGAATAATATAGTAATATAACCTGAAATTATAATTAATCAAAAATTGAAAGTTAAATAAAAGTTAAATTGAAAGTTCTCAAAGGGCAATCGTAGGGTTCTTGTTATTCTTCTCACTATTAACCATTAAAACTAATTTTTGAGAAAAACAAGCGTCACCAAAAACATCTGGACCTTACCAGAATTCTGCATTTTTCCATATCAGAAACTTACCAAATTTTAGTTTTCGATAAGGAAACTTAGGGAAACTTCTCCACGGGCTCTTTTTTAAATTTTCTATGATTGTCAAGAAATGGTTAGACTGACAATTATGTGTACTTAGTGTAATAAAAGTGCAGTTACAAAGTATTTTGCTGATATTAACAAAAATTTAAATTAATTATGCAACAACTTTATATATTTTTAGAAAAATTTAATAACTCGCTTTCTTTTTGACTAAGTACTAAACAACAACGAAAAAGGCGCGCGCTTTGCGCGCGCAGTCTTTGTCTAGTATATATATATATATATATGACTTGGACAGTGAAAAGGGGGCTTACGTGCGAAAAAAGTAATTTTTCATTGATTAGTGATTCTGATTGAAAAAAGTTTTCTCTATCAGAATCACCAATCAATAAAAAATCGATTTTTTCGCACGTAAGCCTCTTTTTCACTACTGTCCAGGTAACATATATACATCTTTAAAATTGTATCTAGGCCTTGTTGATTAATAAACTATTTATATTATATTAATAATGAATAACAGCAGTTAAGTCTTTTAAAAAAATGTGATGTAACGCACGAACTTACCCCCTCCTCCCCCATGTCACACTACGTCACGATTCTCTGACTCCCTCCCCCCTGGCTGCGTGACGTATTATGTGCACAGCCCAAATATATGTCTAAAAAAAACTTAAATATTGTATTCTTTGTTAAATTATCTACTCAAATACTGTAATGAGAATAGGCTAACTGTCAATTCCGAGAAAACAAAAATTGTAATCTTTACGAGTTCGTCAAATTCTAGAGCGAAAAGGTTTAAAAGATTTAAATATGGTTCTCATAGCATAGAAGTAGTCGACCAATATACTTATTTGTGAATTCCTTTTTCAGGTACGGGTTCTTTTCTTCCGGTTGCGTCTATGGCAGTCGGTGCAACTTACATGGCGATCGGGGGAATTCTTAAACTTATATACTCGGTGGGGGCAGATTCTTGGAGCACATATACAACAAACTCTTTTAAAGCCTTACGCTTAGTATTTTACCATATGGTGTCTAAATATGGGGTCTATGCTATGCTGGATTGTGCTACAAGGGTCTGAGGAGCTGGCGATTAGGGTCCCATCATACTGGTCTAATTGGTTTTTACAATTTTATCGTGTTTTTAGTCTGAATGATAACATTAGCATTTAAGACGACTTCTCTTTGGACTCCATTATCTTGAAAAGAAATAATATTCTCGATAGGTATGGACGATACCTTAGGGCTACAGATTTGGAGCAGTGCTCCGAATCCAGCAGCCTGTTGGTGTATCCGTATGTGTCGATCAATTGAAGGGTGCAGCTTTATCTGAATATCTGCTCCCCCCTGGTAATCAAAAGAATCTTTGCCCAAATTAGATCAATCAACAAGTATAATAGTCGAATATGTTTGGGTCTTTGTAGGCGATTCTCCACTTGTATAAGCCAATACGGATATAGACTAGTGTAAATAAATATAAATACTTTATTTTTTGTACAAACAAAAAGTAAAGTACTCAGATTCAAATTTAGAGGATTTTAAGAAATCAATTAAAATTAAAAAAAATTGATTCTTAATAAATTCCATATTTGGTGAAATAATCAAAATCGTATTGCCGACATATTGAATTTTCCTCAAATATGCAATTTTTTAAAAATATTTTTATTCTACAAAATATTAATAAACTTTGGCACATGACAACGAATCCTTATACTATTTATGAATTCACCACTAAATTTTAGCTCAATCTATCAAATCTTTTGCGAGAAAACCTGCGGAGAATATTTACATGTGAAATCACAACAATCACATAATCCTTATACTTAGGGTGTTTTGTTTTTTTAGATAACAGAACATACCACTTTCAAGCGGAAGATGATGTAGATCAACGAGCTTGGATGTCCGTTCTAGTCAACTGTAAAGAAAGAGCTTTAATGAGGGCTTTTGACGCTAGTGGTCGATCAGAAAGTTGTCAAGGAAATCCTAGTTTAGTTGAACTACAACAAGCAATAATTCGTTGTGTTACACGATTACCCGGTAACGATCAATGTTGCGACTGTTCGTCTCAAAATGGTTTGTAAAAAGAATTTACTATTTAATGGATGATATTTTGTATTATATGTGACAGGGAAAGTTAAAAGGGAACTACAGGTTGAAAAAATCGAATTTTACTTTTTTATCAGTTTTTATAGAAGATGATAAGCTTCTTTCAATGTTGTTAAGTTCAAAGTCGTTTTTCTCGAAATATTATTTTCGGACCATAGGTTCTTTTAACTTTACTTCATATAAATTATTTCTTTTAGTAAGAAGTATGCTTTACAACAGATGCAACATGGCTGTCTACAAATTTTGGCATCATCGTGTGTATCGAATGTAGTGGAATTCATAGAGATCTTGGTGTACATATATCGAGAATACAATCGTTAACTTTAGACAATGTTGGTACTGCTCAATTACTGTTATCAAGATATATGACTAATCAAGCCTTTAATGAAATTATGGAAGCAACTCTTCATCCAAACCTTAAGCCCACTCCCAGGTCAACTATGTAAGTGTACTTTATAATTAGCATTAATTTATGAGAAACATAAGATATATACACTTTCGAGTAATTGCTAATAAATTATAAAAGATTTTATGGCTCTAACAATCGTTGGATGAAATACATTCAGATGTTGCCATAAAAAATGATACACATTTTGTTTTTCTTTTGCAATCATTACACTATATTCTCTTTATTACACCGTACAACAAAAATTTCATTTTTCGGTTGTGCACACGAATGAAACCAAAAAATTCAGAAACTATGGCCAAAATAAAAATACCCGTATTTAGCCGTTTTGCTAGATCAATTCGTTTTCGGTTTTTATGGGCAAAAAACAACACTTAAATTGACCATGACAAAAAATCTTTTTTAAAATAAAATAATTTGTCAGTTTTTGCTTGAATATTGTTGAAATGATTATATTTTTTTAATGTTTTTAAGGTGAGTAAATATACCACTTTTTAAAATTTTAAGATCAACCCTTAACCCCAAAACTACCCTTGTTTTGACATTTTGAAACATTTTGAATATTGCAATACAAATGTTTTTTTTATACAAAGGCAAGGTATTGTATAAAAAACATTTTTTTGATATCTCTAGGATATCCTCAGAATATCTATGGATATCCCTGAGACATCCTTTGAATATCCTACTTTCCTAATATCTCTAGAGCATCCGTAAGATATCCTGTATATTCGGATGCTGTTAGGGTATAAGGGCAGTTTTTGAGATAGGACAAGGGGTTGCAGCTCAGAAATCGAATTAAGTAAATTACTAAATTCTTATAAAATCAATATTATACTTAAGGGGTAACATCTCCCAGAGCACGTAAACAAAGAGCATCTCTATTTCAATAATTTATTTTAAGAAAATGGTACAGTAAAATGATGTTGGGTTTTTTAACGTAAAACACATATATTAAACTAAACTAAAACGAAAATTTTTTTTTATCAAAATGGCGCCTTTACATCAATTCAATCAAAAGCACGTTTTTTAAAACAGCCTCAAAGGGCGGAAGGTTTTCTACTTTCCATAAGTACCAAGACAAAAAATTCAAACGAATTATGAAAGAAGATGTTATTTGCTAGAGAATTCCGTAGGATATTTCAAAAATATTAATTTTTGTCAAAATGGCATGTCATTTATGACAAAAATGTCATTTTTCAAAGAAAATTCACTCAAAAAATAGCTATAGAATGGAAACGCATCAATCAATGTAAAAAATCCTGCGTTCTTCCCTGAGGATTAGCGTCCTGAAGCTGCTGTCCAAATTTCAAGCAAATCCGTTAAAAACTGTGGGAGTAATCCTCCCGCCCATTTTTAAAAATCTATTTTCGATATGAACGAGTTTAAAGTTTGCAGTCATAAAAACATAAGTCAAGACTTTAAAAGTTGAGCTACGCTCATGAAAATTACTACTGGGCGGTTTTCGGAGGCGCTGATTACGATTCCGATGTCAGTTTTTAAAAATTCAAAATGGCAGATTTAATATGGCGGATGACAAAATTAAAAATTTAACGATTTTTCATGAAACATGTTGCAATTTTGTTGAAATTTGTTACTCTGGGGTTTTCGGGGTCGCTGATTGCGAATTTGATATTAGTTTTCCAAAATTCAAAATGACGAATCAAATCTAATAAGGCGAACGAAATTTTAAAAAATTGCTTTGATTTGCTTACATATTAGTACTTTGGGATTGTTGGGGTCACTGTTTAAAGTCACTTCTGTATTTTGAATTTGGTTCCTCACCGGAACAAGATATTTTATTCTTATATAGTTGGTAGAACTGACAGTTTCTTTTTAAGTTGGCAATGCCCTCTAGTTAGTCAGTCGATTTCGTGCACTTGTATATGCCAGAGCATCTCTGTTCATATTTGATCTAATTTTCGTTATGCCATTTGTTCAATAAACTTTAGTTTAATATACGATGCACTTTTATTTACTTTACACTCATACGGGTTCCTTAATTTATAGTCACTGATTATGAATCCGAAGTCAGAATTCCAAAATTCAAAATGGTGGAACTAATATACCGAATGAATTATGACAAAAATGTATTGAATTCTTTGAAAAAATATTGGATTTTCGTGCAAATGTGTATCTTGGGGTTTTTGGGGAGGCTGATTACGATTCCGAAGTCAGAATTCCAAAATTCAAAGTGGCGAATACAATATGGTGAACGAATTTTCACAAAATTATTGGACTCTTGAAAAAATTATTGGATTTTCGTGGAAGTGGATATCTCAGGGTTTTCGTGGTCGCTGATTACGAAACCGCAGGCCGAATTCCAAAATTCAAAATGACGGATTACCCCAAAGTAATAATGTTTAAGCAAATGCCATCAATTTCTAAAAACAGGCGGCCAGAGTGTATATGGGCAAATCCACAGAACCGGCCGCTTTTTACTTATCAAGATGAAAATTTTCCAAATAGCAAGCACACCTTTTATTTATGGTTTACTTTCTTTAAAATATATTCAAGAACAATTATCTTCTTGCGTGATTCATTTTATTTTAATGCCGTTTGAGTTAAAAGCCAAAAACGAAAATATTATTTTTCTTCTGGAAATTATAATTAAAAATGGCATTTCTTTGTTTTTTTTATATATTATTTGAAATATGTGCAAAACATTTTGAATAATAAAATATGATAAAATACAAATAATTAATTTTTTAATTATCAAAAATAAATTATTTATATTTTATCATATTTTATTATATATTTTATTTATTAGCATTTAATTTTTTATTTCTGTAAATTAAATTGTTTACTTACTAATTTTGATATTAACTATTTTAACCAACAAACTGACATTATTGACATCGATTTTGATATAACTTTGAAAATAAAACAATTGAAAGGATAATTCATTTTTCACGATTAACTAGTTAAATTTCGATAAATTTTTTTTTATTTTTAATTTTTAGACGTTATAAATTGAAAATATAATTTGGCGTTTGCATACAAGAATTATAATAATGTCTTTATATAATCACACATGTTTTCAACTCATCATATTTTATCCTGTAGTTGTGCTACTGAAAAAAGGCTAAGTTGAAAATGGTTCACGCTTAAACATAGAGTGATAATTATTGGAATATTTTCTTTAATTCTGATTGCACTCTATTCTATGATACATACATTTGTTCGTCTGTTCACAAGCAATAAGCTCCAATTTGAAAAATTCAAATCGAATAATCGCCGCAAAAGATATTTACAAAAATGTATAGACATTTCATTATTATAAAATAATGAGTAACGCTACTTTCAACGACTATCATTTCTTTTTATTTAAGAGCACATATTTTTTATTACTTTCAAAACATTCTTCAATAAGTAAACTATAATTCACCACAGTTTGGAATTGTTCGGATCTATGCCGAACAAGTTATACCTATAAGAATTAAAATTTATACCTGGAGTAACACCGTAAATTTCATTTTTTAAGTTACTTAATTCGATTTTATTTTTTATAAAAGACTAGAAGGTTCACATTTATTCAATTTTCTTATTTCAATAGGTTCTCAGAGATATTACAAAATGGTTGAAGTATGAAAATAATTAATATAATACTTCTAAAATAGAAAAATATATGAGTAACATGAAATCGGCCGGTTCTGTGGATTTGCCCATATACTATTTTTAAAAATTGACTTTGAATTCATTTTCAGTGACAACAAAAATCTCCCATTTTTAAAGGAAAATACAATGATTTTAAAAAAAATCTCCCACCGTATTCGATCAGCCATTTTTAATTTTTCAAAATTTTAAGAATCTGACTTCAGATTTGTAATCAGCGACACTAAAAACTTATAGAAACACATATTTTAAGAAAATACAATAATTTGTTAAAAAATCATCCGCCATTTTAAATTTTCAAAATTTTTAAAATATGACTTCAGATTCTTAATCAGCGATCCCAAAAAGCTATTTTTTAGGAAAATACAATGTTTTTTTTAAAATATCGTCCGCCATAGTGGATCCACCATTTTGAATATTTAAAATTTTTAAACAAAAAAAAATAGGAAAAGAACTAGGCGCAATTGCACCTACATCTAGGGTTTCGTGGCGCTTTAAATTTTAATTAAAAACAAAATAAATCAAAAATAAATAATTTAAAAATAAATAATAAAATTTATTTTATAAATTTTATGTACTATTAAATTTTATTTATTTAGCAAAATTTTTATTATAAATTAATTAATCATTTATCTTTTTTTGAAAATGTCCATTCGATAATGTCCACTATTAAGACATGTCAACTAAGACATGTCAAGAAAAAAGAAAGAGTGGCTGTGGAGTGGAGGTCTTTCTTCTATCATTTATCTTTTTTGATTCACAAACAAAAACATTAGGTAAAATGTCCATTCGATAATGTCCACTATTAAGACATATCAACTCTTGGACATGTCAACTATAGATACATGTCAACTATAGGGACATGTCAACTACTGGGACATGTCAACTATATGGACATGTCAACTATTGGGACATGTCAGCTATTGGGACATGTCAATTACTGAGACAAATTTGAATTTGGGATCTGTGGTGCCCCAAAATTTTAATTTGGGATCTGTGCCCTAAAATTTGATTTTGGGAGCTGTGGTGCCCCAAAATATACTACGGACAGACGGACGCCAAAGTGAAACTATAAGGCTTTCGGCCATGGGCCACGAAACCCTAAAAATCATTATATCGCGAGATGTGATTTTTAAAGAATTAAGAGATCATCAAACTCAATCGACGAAAAGCACTGTTATTGAAGTGCCTATTGAAAGTGACTATGAAAACGAGAAGAGTCTGGATTTCGATGAAAACTAGCTGAATCAAGATGTGGACAAAGATTACCAGATTTTGGATTTAAATGAAAATTCGCATAGTGACGACAACGATTTCGAGGAATGTGAAGAAGTAACCCAAAAATCTCCAGATTTGGGAAAGGGTAAAAGAGAAACGAAACTACCAAAACGATTCGATAATTATGTCATGTTGACCTATGAAGA